TGTGTAACTGCCTCGAGGGTGCTTGACCATTTTAACACAACGTGGTGCGATCATCCCCCTTGCGCGGAGCGAGGGTTCTCCACCCCGCACATGATCTACTCGGCCACCATTATGGTCACCGCCAAAAAAAAAAACGGAGGTAAAAAAAAAAAATCGGCGGGGGGGGATTTACGACGTTAAACGGCATTTGGTCCGTATGGTCCGGCGTCGCCCTTGCTTCTGCCAGGAAAGGAGGGGGCGCCACGGCTACGTTCGACAGCTGCACCTGCTGCGTGATCAAACCGCACGCGGTGAAGGCGGGCAACGTGGGCAAGATCATCGACAAGATTCTGAATCAGGTTCGCGGGTTTTCGGTTCTTCGTGACGCCGTGGACACGCACCTCTCTTCCCCAAGCAAACCCACGCTGTCCCCGGGGCTCCCCTTTTCTTGACCCAAGCAGCTTAAGTACCGTCCCGCGATGCTCGAAGCACCACCGTGGAGTAGCGCCACTGTTGGTCCCTTTTGGTTTTTTCGCTGCCGTCTTGTCTTTGTACCGTCACTAACCACATGAGTCCGACTTGACAAGTCGTCTAACCCTTTCCTGGGCAATGTTTTGACGCACCGAACGATCAGGGGTTCGAAATTTCTGCGATGGAGTCCTTCCGGCTGACCCGGACACAGGCGCAGGAGTTTTTCGAGGTCTACCAGGTACGGTCGGGCCTTTATCAGGTCTTAGCTGCGGCAAAAACCACGAAGGTTGTAACGACTGGCAAAGGTTGAGCCTGGTCAAAAGCGGAGGTAAGGGGAGATTGTTTCCAGACGTTTCAATCGGCGGTCTTTTTGAGGATGAGGGAGTTGGTACGGCGACCCTAGCGAAGTGGTAGGTCTAGCTTTAGGGGTATTTTCTTCCTTAGGGTGGGGCTGACTCGAATGCCACCTACCAGCGGCAGCCTCCCTCGTAAGACCTGGAAGTAGGGGCACCGTTCTTGGCATCGGTTAATTCTAGGTGCGAACGGGTAGAGTATGTGCATGATGTCAAACAAAGCGAAATGACGGCACCGATCTTCCTTTCTTATTTTTTTTTGTGAATTTGGTAGTTTATGGCCACTCTACATGCATGCTATGATCGTTCGTAACTCCGCCCCGTGCACATGTCTATCGATGTGCTTCTTTTTCCCCCGCGTCGTTTGCGTTGGTGCACTTGTTTTCGTGATGTTGACGTTCGATGGAATTAATCGAAATCGCAAGGGAGTGATCCCCAAGTACACCGAGGTGTTGGACGAAATGACGACCGGAACCTGCGTGGCCTTAGAGGTGAGCAGGGAGAGCAACACCAGCCCCCAGTTTCGCCCCATACCCCCCCACGACGCGCACACTCGGCGACACGTCTCGCGCATCACGATCACAATCGAATCCCGGTAAAGCTTTCGCTCGATATCCCACCGCATCACGATGACCGCGTTTTCGCTTACATTTCTCCGAGCGACAGCTTCATGCCGTGATCATGAGGCCCCTCGTGGCAACGCACAACCACCGCGCGGCCCAAACCTGCCTGCTTGCCCGAACACCGTGAACGTTCGGCGTCTTGCCATCGGTATGTCGAGGAAGTTTCCTGCACAACTCCTCTTGCCCCTTCGTCGCGAGAGAGGGACAGCTACATGTTTTCCCCCGACATTGTCTTGGGGTCACTCCCTTCGCTTGTTTTCCTCAGGTCACCTCGTTTTGGTTGTTTTTGTGGGACCGACAAGCAGGCCCTCCTTCCAGTTCCTGTGTCCATAACCACTGATTATCGCTTCTCGCCGCCGCCACTAACTAGCGAGTGCCCTGTGATGATGGTTATTAGATACTGTTGGCATCACTGCCCTCTTGTGCTGCGAAAAACGTTTTGGCGGCGACGAGGTAGATTCGGGGGCAGCAGAATGTGGTGGGCGCCTTCCGCGAGGCCGCCGGCCCGTGGGACGTGGAGATGGCCAAGGAGCTGAGGCCGAACTCCATCCGCGGGATGTTCGGGGAGGGGGCGAAGGACTCGTCCGGTGGGGGAGCACGGACCGGGGTGCACTGCACCGACCTACCCGAGGACGGGCCTTCGGAATGCCGCTACTTTTTCGAGCTGATGCAGCAGGGTGGTGGTTGTGCTCCTTGATTCAATCGTCGAAGAAGTTTCGTGAAGTTCTTTTCTTGTGAAATTCTTTTGCGGAAAGCAACCGAAAGCAAACTCTTGGTTTGTTGGGGCCATATAGTTAGTCCCCTCTTGGTTTGCTTCGCTGGATAGCAACAGCAGCGAGTAACGCGAAGTCCACCTGACTGAGAGGTAGAGTTGGGTTTCCATGATTCCCTGCTCGCGCTCGTGGTTTGAAGAAGAGACGCCCGAAGTAACTGTCATCAACTTCAATACGATCGCCGAACCGTGCTAAGGTCACGTGCGTCCTCCTTTTCTCCGCCGGCTCTTTTTTCTTCTTTATTTTTCGGTGACAGTCAACCGCGGTGTGAACTATTCTGACCGTGGCTATTCGTACTGAGGTTGACCAGCTACCTGCGCCCTTTTGTTTACGCCATACCTTCACCTACCCAAACATTTATCCAAGAACCCGTCCGTGCGGGGAATGTCAGAGAAACAGCGCCACAGCCGCGGTTCATTGTTGGTTGCACGCACACACACGCCCCCCTCATTCCCATGTACATGGCGTATGGCATGTGCGTTTTGCTTGCTTTGGTGGAGGTACTCTTCGTCGGGAGTGGCGAACGTCTCCTGACGGAGCGACGCGACACAGGACTCGTTCTCGTTCCCCCGCACCCGACATCACTCCCGGGTCCTGCCTAGCGGCTTTTTGGCACTTCTTGCCCAGTACCGATAGACATCGACCGACGCAACGCGAATCCTTTTTTAAGATGTAGACTATGCTATGCGCCGCACTCCTTTCACCAAGCCTCGGCCCATCCCCTTTCTGTGGAACCCCTTAAGATCTGTTCGGTGTGTACGAAGAATCGGACCTACCACTCTGTCCGGAAGTATAGCTGGGATTTGAAGTGACGGGTTATAGGTGGGATATGTACAAAACAGCTGTTCGTGGCCCTACAGGCTGTTTCTGGGCCCCCCACATGGTTTCAATAGCATCAATTCACTTACCGGAGGGGGGGCGAGATTTCCCCGGGCCAGGCGGGGACGTTTCGTTGCCATCCCCGGTTTTCACAAAATTGTGAGGAAAAGCACATCTTACCCAGTTTTCACGTAAACTGGAACAGGGTATCGACGACGCTTGCACGCCGGACACTAGCCCATATGGGTGCCGGACTAGCGGCCTCGATTGCCGGAGGGATGTTCGGAGGAGAAGCTGAGACGAACATTATCACGCCGTGGGGTTTCCATTCTTTTGATTGGTGACACTGGTGCAGATGTTCATCATTCATTTTCATTCATTCATTTACTCATTCACTCATTCATCCACTGCTGTGGCACGACACTACGCTTCCTGGTCCCTGTTCGTTGAGCGCAAGACCGGCAAGCAGTGTCCCAACGACAGTCACGGAGACCACCAATGCGACCAAGAAATCCCAGCGCAACAACACTCATAACACAAGAGGAACTCCATGTTCCAAGACAACCACACACCACATCAATCCGTTCAGTACGAGTACTTCTGGTGTAACCAGCACGCAGTCCATCTTCGCAACAACCACGGCAACATCAAGCACTGGTAATCAGATGATCCCACACCACAAAATGCCCCTGCAAAGCTCCTTACACCCAAGATGCAGCAGTACCGCAGTAGGTCAACGGCAACGTCGCCCCCCCCCTCTGTCCCTTCTCAAGCTGAACCCCCGCCGCAGTCGCGGCACTTGCAGCCCGAACCGCCGTCGATGCCTCGGCGCTCAGCGGCAACTCCTTCGGAATGGATCTCCCCGAGTTCGCCGCATTGTCCTTCTTCAGATGCGGGAGTTTGAAGGTGTTGTTGCCTTTCGCGAGAATGATCTGCAGAATTGCCTGGAGGGATACCCAGACCTTGTCATGGGTAGAAGGGCTCTGTTCCTCGAAGGCCCTCTTCACCTCGGTGATGAACTCGTCAACCGTCCTCGGAGTGTTGCGGTCTTGGAGAGATTGAACTGCGTTGAAGAACCCCAGGTCCAGGATGTTGGTGTCTGGACTGTTGGATGGCTGGTTGATGAGCCTGATGTCCCAGCCGTCGGCAATGCCAGCGGCCACGACGTCCGGATCGGCGTTGATGCGGTGGGACGGCTTATTGTCCAGCTGGATGTAGATTGTTCGTCCCCTTCCCCCAGGCCAGCGAGCCTTGATGGCGGGGAAGACCTCGTCCACCACCTTCCTCTTGAAAACCTCTTTCGTCACCTCCACACACTTGGTCTCCATCGTCCCAGCCGCCCTGTTCCTGCTGTTGCGCTGCGCGGCGCGCTGTACGGTGAACTGAAAGATACCGAGCTTGCCTGTGAAATTGCAGCACCGGTTGGTTTTNCGTCCCCTTCCTCCGGGCCAGCGAGCCTTGATGGCGGGGATGACCTCATCCACCACCTTCCTCTTGAAAACCTCTTTCGTCACTTCCACACACTTGGTCTCCATCGTCCCAGCCGCCCTGTTCCTGCTGTTGCGCTGCGCGGGGCGCTGTACGGTGAACGGAAAGATACCGAGCTTGCCTGTGAAATTGCAGCGCCGGCTGGTGTCATACCGCGGGCGAGCAACTGCTGCGAGGAACATCACCTTCGTGATGTGCGATTTGTGTTGGACTTTACGGGTCGGCAACTCCTCGTCCGTGTAGCGGTACAGTCGAGGCCCGCACTAAGAACATGGCACTTAAGAATATGGTAAGAACACGTGCTCAGATTGCACCTGCAGTTAACAATAAGAACGCACGCCGAGGTGTACCACTGCTGCTAAAGATAAGAACAAGAGCACATTCAGCAGCTGCGAGATAAGAACATTCGAACGGGGAGGGGGGGACGGGCGGGGGGGTGATCCAAGTATTGGATTTCGCAGGGGGGTAGGTGTGCCGAAGGTGGGTGCATACATACACCTCGGAATCTGCAATTTTTGCAGAGGCGAGGGTGGGCACTGAAAACTTCGCGCCCCCTTGGCGGCTGCCAGGCCAGGCACGTGCAGCGGGTCACGAGTTGCCTGCCGTACACAGGGTATCATGTCCCTGTCCAATCCCTTATCCCATGGGTTGTTGAAAGATCTTGGCAAACTTGCAGAGTTGAAAGGACGGGGTCTGATTCTTGACCGTCACTTCGAGACGATAAAAACACATGTGAAGGCGGGAAACTCCGTTGCGAAGGAGCGGTGGGACGCCATCGAGAGCGCGTGGGGGTTGAAGCAGAACGGTATCTTCGACGAAGGAGAGTGGATCCCGCAGATTGATGGTGAAATCCAGGGCATTACCAGCAGCACCCGCCTGTCCTTGTCATCCCAACAAGATGCCAGCAGCGCACGAGGTGCTGCTGCACCTTCTCAGCACCCATCTGCTGCTGCAGCGGGTACCGCGAGGAGGAAGGTGGATCGAGGGAAGCACGCCAGAGAGAGAGCTGCGAAAGGCACTTTAGGCGGCATCATCTGCAACGCGTTCTCGATTGGCAGCGGACAACCGGTGAGTTCGGTTACATATGTATCCGACGCACGCTGTTGCTTTGTTCTGCTACACAGTTTTTTTATTTTTTCAATTCCCGATAGTCTAAGCAAGAGAAAACATGAAAAAAAATATAGGTAAGTTCATTAGTCTAGACTAGACTAATGTGACCCAAACGAAACAGACGTCATCTCCCCACTCTCTAATGTGATTCACTATAACCTTTTCAAGTAAGTATTCGTTCAGAGTGCATAGATACTTTTGCCAGCGGCATCCACGGAAGTTTGAATTCAACAGCGCCACAACTAAGAGCGACTGACACGTCACATGGCTCGTTGAATCCCCTACACGGCAATTCCGCCCTTTCCCATCGCACCGAGCAAATTGAGCGGACTCGTGGTGGAGTGAAAGAGTTCGTATCCGGTATCAGCTTCCCGCCTCCTGCCCCGGAGTCCCGCCCATCCTGCCCTTACTGTCCCATGACCTTCGTGAACGAGCAAGGCCTTGGGATCCACGTGAGAACGCAGCACAGCAGTGCAAACATGTCCAACGGCGTGCGGCTGCGGCGGATGCTACGGAAGAATCTCGCAGGGCGTGTCCTGCCGTGGGAAGAAGCCGGGCCTGGGCGTTGTTGGCACGTGAAGGTCGATGATGCGACGAGGGCGGCTTCGTTTGTCCTCCAGCGGAAGCGCTTTCTCGATCTAGACTTGGAAAGCGACGGTTTGATGGACCGCGAAACCAAGGAAACTCGTGGAGCTCCCAAGCGCAGGCGATACGACTATAGGTTCAAAGCCAATGCTGTCAACCAGCTGCGCATCCTCGAGGACAACACCGCGGACTTCTGGATGGAGGAGGAGCGCACGCGTCTTCAGTACTTAGGGGATCGTCTCAAGGTTCACTACAGCAACGTACGCCAACAGGGCCAATTGGTGTTGAAATAAGAACATGAGTTATGCCGCCTGAACCTCAACTACAAGCTATATTTCCGGACAGAGTGGTATGAGTACTTGGAGTAGACATGCATTGAATTTGGCTAGAACGCTATAACTGGGAGATTGGTTTCCACGGAGCTTGTCTGTCGTGTTTGGCCCGACCCGAAAACCGCAACCTTGAATGTATATATATATATATGCGAATGAACGTCGCAGGACTGCAGATTGCAACCCGACCTTGCCTGCGGCTGTGCCTTCGATTCGAGCACCGCGCGTGAACATGGTAGGAGTATGATCTTCACATACCCCGCTTCAGCGTCTTCCGCTATACAGTACACGCATATTTGCATGAGATGCTGTAGCCTCAACCTACCCAGCAGAATGTCGGAGGCGCGTCAACGCGCAGCAGAAATTTGACTAATAAACAAAGACACCATCAGACATGCTATGACGAGTAACAACGATATGCCACCACATGTACTTTGGCCGCATGCGGCAACGAGAAACCGCCGCCATACCGATCTCCATTCACCTATCACCAACTCCAAGGCTGGAGCACACATCCCATACACGATGTTATTGCCGAAACCTGCCTGTCCACTGTTACCCTATGGTACTTTCACTCTGTTACCCTGGTTCATCTGGACAATCCCATGCGTCTCTGCCCCTCCAGTGGTTGTATCACTCGACGGAAACCTTCAGTTCGATTTAGAACGCCGCTCCCATCGCCACCGGGGCCCGCGCATGCTCGGGGTCGACGTCCTCGCAGAAGACGGCGTACTGCACTCTAGCCCCTGGACTCCGCTCATGCACAGTATACCTGATGGATTTGGCGCTCGTTTTATTTTATTGGTGGTTACGGCGGTGGATGAGCGCGTGTTGTTGTTGTGTTTCTTGTTGTTGACGTTGTTTTCGATGTGCGTCGTGGATAGTGTATCATGATAAGAAAGAAACCGCGGACGTCTTTGTTGGAGAGAGGCGGAGGCACTCAGAGTCGCGGCAATGGCTGGTACATCAGGGGCGAAGAGAGGTTTGAGAACGGAAGAGGGTTTACAGGACGCCACGGCACACGTTTCAATCGGTTGGAAAAAAATGTGTTCATGGCGTTCAGCAAACCTGCCTCTTCGCGGCTGTTCAGCCTCTCCACGTACCGGCAGCAGATAGTGTCTTGCTCGCGCTCGCTTAGGTTGAGGTTCATGTTGCCCAGCACCGACAGGAACTGCTGGCGTGTGATCTTCATCTTGCGGTTCGGGTCGAAGTTCTAAAGGTAGGAGATTGAATGAAAACGTTGTTGCGATGCAAGGACGTCTTTTTGGCTCAATCGGAAATAGATGCCGCCTTAGCCCGCCCCAGGCGTCGATTCAACTGCTAGTACTTGTTCTGTTGAGTCATATAACAATTCGTTGTATGGCCTCAATCATGCTGCCGTTTGGAGGGCAACGTGCAGGTCACCTACCTTGCTTATGCTCTGCGCCATGAGGGGTTGCTGTCTTTTTGGTGGCAATCGAAGTGGCGACAGCAGTCAATACTGGACGTGGGTCAGCAACCAAACAACCACCAACATGGGTGCTTCCCTGAAAGGTACCCGCCGAGGAATAAATGTTTTTGATTGTAGAACCCACGAATGTTACCGAGAGAACTTTCATTTGTCTTCGATGGAATCGTGAAGAATTTATCACGGAAGCGAATCACATTGCGAGGGAACAGAAACATGCTTACCCACTCCAAGACTTCGAAGATTTCCCGTTCGTACGACTACGTGTGGTGGTGGTGCCATTGACTTTATCTTTGGGGGAATATTGTCTTGTTTCCAAGGCTGTATAGCTCTGCTCACCTGAAAGGAGGGCTTAAGGTGCATGCGGTAGTGCTTCACTCGATGCCGCACCGCGTCGAGCGACTTATTCAGCACCTCAACATCCACCGCGTCTCCGATTTCGTTCCCTTGGACCCGGTCTGAACCGCCGCCACCACCACCCATAACTGGGCTACGGTTCCACCCGGCGCCGACACCTCCGCCATCACCGCCACTACTTCCGTTGCCCATGTTTTTGTTCATGACGGCGCCTTGATGGCGAGCCGCCATTCTGTTGGAGACAACGGTAGCGCTGCTGGAACCGTCGCATGTCACCCGCTGATGCTCTTGCTGCCCCTGTTGAGCAGGCGAGGACGAGCTTCCGAGCGGTGATGGCGGTGACAACGGTGAGAGCGGAAGAGACGGAGTGGTATTGGGCGACGGCACGCCAGATGCAATATGAGGGACAGGAGCGGAGTCACCCGCCGGCTGCTGCCCCCGCGGTTGATGGTGGTTGTGCTGGGATCGACGGTGGTTGTTAGCCTTGGCCACGGAAGGGTCGAAACCCTGTTAAGAAAAGAAAGTACACATGAAGGGTAGCGTCGAGCAGAGTGCGTAAAAAATGGTGTATCGAACGGAACGTCAACACAACGGAGGGTTGGGGCTACAAAAGAAGGGAAGCTGGTGGTCGGGTGAGCAAGGGGAACGGGGGGATCGGGAGAGGAGGGGCAAACGTCGCGAGGGACTATAGGCAGGAGTATTGACCGGGAAAGTGAGAAGGGCGGTAGGCGGGCTTGTATCACCAGTGCCTTTCCGTCAAGCCTACGTTATGAATGCCGTATTCACCTCGCCATTCCAAGACGTGGCGACGGGAGGACCTCCGACCTTGTTTACGGCGACTGAAAGCCTCCTCCAATCTACCTGCAAGCAAAAAAGACAATCGGCAGCATCAGTCACTGCACCGGCACATCTGGCAGCAACGTGGCGTGCATCGCAACAAGGTACGGTAAGGCATAGCACGACCTCGATGGGCGGAGAACCTGTCAGGCGTCAACTCCAAACACTTGACTCTAGCCACACCCAAGCCACGGAGCAATAACCTTTTTGTCATGTGAAGCTCGCATGGAACACGTTTTTTCTGCAGCCATATGCGTCGAGGCGGCAGGGGTATACTTCAAAGTGCCCTCCTCCCACGAAGGTGCTCCAACGATTGCGCGCGCGTACCGCTCTCACCCCAGTTCCCTACAGTCAGGTGTAAAAATCTACTAGTAGACATCCTTGCTGGTGCGAGATGCCAAACGGTAACACCCCACCCGCTCGATAATTACTGATACCATATCTCGGCTCCTGTCACTTCGAAAGCCGTGCTCGAGGATGTGCAATTCCTCGTTGGTGAGAAGCACTCCTGCCAGCGCCAGCGCTACCTTTAGTTTTGGCAATGTGATCTTGTTTCCCGGGCACATGGCAACGGACCGGTCAAAGCGTCGAGGGGACGTGCGATAGAGCACCAGACAGAAGAGGAAAGAGCATGAGAGGGGTTTTGTGTTATTTTCCTTTCCCTCGAGAGGCTAGGCCAGAATCATCAACGCAACCGTGATCAAGCGGTAGCTGCTCGCTTTGATCGAAAGGATACGTACATTGACACATCAACAGACGATGCAGGCTCTCTTTTCTCATCCGTGGCTAATGTTCGTCTGTCATGTTCGCGCGAGTGTGCTCACCTCCCCTTGCTTCAAGCGATCGGCGTCTTTCAAGAAGTCCGTGATGTTAGCCCACCCAACCGCCTGTTAGAAAGTCGTCATTTTTCGGAAGAGAGTAAATGGACCGACGAACAAGAAGAGGTGTCGTGTTTGTGTGTGTGCCCATTCAATGAATGAGTCACGTCACTCATTCTCTCAAAGTTTCTGTTCAGACGTACTCGTCGCCGTTTCCACGAAAAAAGCGCGCGCGAACCTAGCCTCTCGTACATAAACGCCCACCGAATCCACTGACGGGATGAACAGCAAGACAGCCGCCGTCCCTTTTCCTGCTTCTCTTACCAGCTGTCGAGCGACTTCCTTCACGACCGCTTGCAGTGAGAGGGGTGGACCGCTCCCAACATCTGCTTCGTCCACGCTCCCGCCCGTATCACCGACGCCGCTGACATCGTGCTTTGAGGAAGCACCGTTGATGTCGATGGCATCAGTAGAGCCGGAACCAGGAGCATGGCGATGGCCAGTGCTGGCATTGGCGCGGATCATAAGCCCGTCGGGGATCTGCCGTTTAAGGGCAACGCAGCATGAGGGACAAAGCTGACACAACGGACACAACATCAACGTTGGGCTGAATTCGTTCACGACATGAGCAATGCTGTGCGAGGAGAGAAACAACGCGACGGGCTGGGACATAGTCTGCTGTCGCTACCGCTGCTGCTGCTGCCGATGCTGCTGCTGTCGCATACATTTCAATAAATTTCGAAACGACCAATTCTTGAATATGTACACACCCCCACACAGAACGAGTCCCGCGCACGGCAATTCCTGCCAATAATTCGTGAGACAATGGAGAGGGTGAAGTGGTCGGATGGGGTGCGTTGTCCCATTCGGGTGTTTGCTGGCACATAGCCCCGGGGGACGTTGTTGAGAAAAGAGTTGTTCTTGCCAAGCGCGACCTGCCTTGTTTTTGTAGTCAAATGGACAGCAGCATGATCGCCGTTGAGGCTCGAAAGAACCCGAACTTCCCCAACACACACCTTGTCGTGGCCGGTCACCGCCATTTCTACCGCCTCCAGGAAGGCCATGTAGTTCACGTCGGACCTCGAGTCTGGGGAAGAGAGCCGCTCCGCAAATTTTCGCTGGAGTAGCCTCGCCCTTCATTCGGGTAGGGTCGGTATTGGGGTTTCGGATGCTGGTTACAAATAGCGGCGGTGTCGACCGAGAGCTCCAGAAACATGCGGGGGCTGTTCCCCTTTCGGAGTATCTATCCGTTTCAACGTGAACGAAAGCCCACACCGGCCTACCGGCACACGCTGGAGTTGTCTTGCCTGCTGCTGGCGCCGCAGTCTGCACCACATCCCACATCGTCGATAACTACATTTGTTGTATGAAGACTTTCCATTTCTTTCTCACTTGGGGCGGGCAGGGAGCAAGCCGACCGAGCTCAGGACCCTCTCGAACATTGTGCCGGGTACGACACCCCTGTTGAACCGGTCGAAGTCGCGCAACGGTGGGGTGAGGCT